ATCTGCAGAGGGCAGGCAAGGCCCGTCACTCGTCCAGACTTAGAACATGACGTGCAAGTGAGGGCACCCAGGCCCCTTGGCCTCTGCTGGAGTCAGGTCTGGCTGGGCGGCGCCACTCGATACCCCTGCCCCCCATTCCAGCTCCCATCAGTGATTCTAACAATAATGAGCCTCCTGGCGTCGGGGATACCCCTGGAAACAAGACTCCAGGGGGCTGGGGGCTGGGTTAGTGTCCCTGTGGGAGGGGTTTGGCACCCACCATGCCCACCCTGCCCACCTTGGAGGGTGCTCTTGGAAATGCCACAAGGGCCAAAGAGCACCACTGCTCCTTGTCCCAGGGGGCTCTGCACAGGTCGCTCAACACAACACCTGGCCCCAGGGTGCACAGGACAGCCTCCCTAAGGTCATGCTGCCAGTCAGAGACCCAGAAAATCCCAAATCAGGGCCCAGGCCTCATGGGCAAGTGTTTGCCCCACAGCACAGGGTTGTGCCTCCCCATCCCAGGCCTCTCCTGGTGTCCCAGGGGATCTGGAATGGGGAAGGCCCCTCCTGGGCCAGGGCAGTCTACTCCTAGGCCAGAGTGGGAGGCTGCCCCCACCCTACCCAGAACCTCCAGCAGCCCTGGTCTGATGAAGGCCTGGGGTCGGAGGTGCGTCAGCAGGCAGGCCCACAGCATATCCTGTTCTGACTTGGATCCCGGTGCAACCGGGGAAACAGGACGTGGGAGAGCATGATCATGGTCCTCTCCTCCCAGGAGCTGGACCTGCTGGGATGCACCCCTCAGGCTCAGAAAGCGGAGGAATACACGTGACAATTTATATCTCACGCTAATGTACTTCCCCTGTGTCACTGTATTGGAATCCTAAGAAAACCCTATGAACTAAGTCCCATGCCATTAACACATCATACAGAGAAGCCTGAGGCACAGAAAGTGTGAGGCGTCCCCTGTGGTCCCGCATGGCTGCAATCTCAGCCTAAGCCTGCAGCACAGCACAGCACAGCAAATCTGCCTTGGCCCAACAGCCTAGGTGGGGCACCCTGGTCCATGCTGGGAGCCAACGTGAGTCTCCTGCTCTCTTAGCCCATGCCTCAGAAATGCGATTCTGAAGGAAACTGGCCTGCAGTGGTCAGCTCTGGAAGTTCAGGGGCTGGGCAGGCCCAGACAGTCCTGAGGGTCAGGAACACCAGCTACCCCAAAAGCAGGCCAGAGGGGGCCAACTCCTGGCTGAGCCCAGGACAGCAGCTGGCCAGCAGCGGACAGAGAATGAATTGAGCAGGCATGGTCCTTGGCCCTTTCAGTTCACCCCCTGCCGTAGGCTGGGGAGAAGCCTCAGGGGAACCTGTGACTCAACAGTCTGTGTAAGAACCAACTTCCAGAGGCTGGAGTGGCTCAGGCTGGCAGTGAGCAGCCCCTCCAGCACCCTGCACATGCCTAGACAAGGGCTATGCTTCCAGGATACCCATACACAACCCTGAGGCAGCTCCAAGAGGAGACCGTGCCCATCCCTGCATCCTGGTTCTGGTGTCTAAGGACACAGGAACTGCAGGCAAGGGACAGAGACGCGTCTGCACAGAGCAGTCCCCATCCCCCAGGGCCCCTGTACAGCTGGAAGCCTTGGTCCCTGGCTCCCTCCTCTACTTCCTCCTGCAGCCCCCAGCCCCGCACCTCCCACCCCTGCCTGCCCTACCTTGGCCCAGCTGAATCAGCTCCTCCATGGTGTACCTGTCCATGGCTGCTGAGCACAGGCCAGGCTGCTCAGAGAGCCGGCAGAGAGGAAAGCAAGGCAGGAAGGAGGGGAGGGTTGGAGGCAGAGGGAAGGCTCACTCATGCCCTGGCCTCCCCACCCAGCTCTGGGAGCAGTGGCTCCTCCTCAGGGCCACCCCTTAGTCAGTGAGCAGAGCTGAAGCCCAGCAGGCAGACAGGTCAGACCAGCCCAGGCAGACCAGTCTGGAGGTGTAGTGGACTGGTCTGCCTATAATCCCTGAGCCCTCAGGCCCCAGTTCACTGGTCTTCCCTACTGTGCCTACCCTGCCCAACCCACCCCACAGCCTCTCCTTCCCTCTGCAGGCCCCAACAGCCCAGCCTGCCACCCCACCCACCCACATTCCAAGCGTCCATGTGCCCAGCAACATTCTGTGAGCCACGTGAAAGCAAAGTCCTGAACTACTCCCATGACCCACTCCTAGATACCCACATTCCCTTGACACCCACATTCCCTTGGCCCCCAAAGTTGGCCCGTTCCTCTGCCCGAATCCCCCACAACCAGCTCAGCCCCAGGCACCATGTTCCCACTGGAGCAAATGTGACACCTCCTTTCCATCCAGTTGCTGTAAGACCCAGTAAAATGAAAACCTAATCCCATTGTACTTTCACTTAAAAATCTGCCAGAGTTCCACAGATATCCCTATAAACAGGCAACATGATCTGCAAAAAGCTGGCTGGACCCACCGTCCCACCTCCAGAGTGCTATGCAGCAGTGAAGAAGAGCAAAGCAGCTCTGTGTCCCCTCTGTGACAAAGAGTCACATAAGAAAGTTAAGGCTCAAGTGTATCGTCCATGTGAGAGGGGAGAAGTGATGGCCAAGTATGGTCCCCTGCTCATTACTGTGGGAAATGCCTCTTGGAGCCGTGCATGGAGCATTCAGCTGGTATCTTTCCTCAGTTCATTCTGAATTCTCAGTTCATTCTGAATTCTCAGTCAGGCAAAGCATTATTATTTGCAACTTAAATGAAATGCATACATAAACACCCATACTAATCGCTTTCCTTGCCATAGGCACAGGGCCTTCTTATGGATGTTACCCCTCTGGCCAACCCCGGCTTCCTCTGTCCCTCCATCTGAGTTGCTTTTGGCAGAGCGAGTACCTCCTCATCCCTCAGGGCACCTCCTGATTGCTCCTGAAACTGCACCTAGTTTATCCCCAGATATCCAGGGCTCCCTGGGCAGGGGCTCAGTCTGGGTCTGGTGCTGGCTAAACAGGCAGGTGGAAGTCTTCCCACATGGATGTGCCACCTGGAGGCCCACAGGGACAAGCAGACTCCACTCAGAGACAAGCAGACCACTGGGGTGCAGGGACAGGGTGGGAGCCTCATGGGCAGGGGTATGGCAGATACTCCCAACAGGCCCTGCTCTGTCCATGGCTCCCTAGCCAGGGCTGGATGGACAGAAGCAGCTCATCCGATTGGGGTCATTTGGGTGATCAGTGCAGCTGCCCCACAAGCTCCTGACCTTGCCCTTCTGCCAACCCACGGGAGGAGCCATGCTATGGGGAAAGGCAGGATTTTATGGCACAGTTTGGTCACTTTACAACTCTAAGAGGTCAACAATTTATGTATTATCATAGCTACCCCAGCCAGTATGTGGCGCTGTCAGGACCTCTGGCACCAATGTGGCCCTATGCCACACCCAGCCCCTCTCTACCAAGCTAGGCCTGAAGCACATAGGGGAGAGGGGGTCCACGCCTGCTGGCCCTGACTCAGCCTGGAGCTGGAGCTCATTTCCTGTTGGAAACTCTGAGCTGCCTCTGGCGGCTGTGGCTGGGGGGGGGG